GAATTATAAGTACAATCTTATATATTTATTAAAGGTTTACCGTTATTTAAAACAGTAGCTAGGAATATGTTGGGTATAATCTATCTAAATAAAATTTTGATTTAAAGAATAAATTAAGCAACATCTTAAATTCTTCTTATCAAGAGGAAATTGTTTGCTTGATTATGCTTTTTTATGCAAAGTAATACATTTATTTCAGTTGTATATACTCTCCTCCCCCCAACAGTTACTGGAACCGTTTTAAAGAAGACAATCTTAGAACCTCTTAACAATCTAGTGATTAAACTGTATTCTGTTGCACTCAGGATCACCTTTAAGGAACATATGTTTTTTAAAAAGGGCTGAGTTGTCTGTAACTAATCAAGAAAAAGAACTTGGGCCTAATGGATAGCTTCATAAAGATGTCAAATCACAATTTCTCAGCTGAGAAAAAAACACATTCCATGCTAGGGATCGTTAACAGAGGGATTGAAAATAAATCTGGCAATAATGCATACTGTAATACCTTTTCACAAATGCTATGGTTATCTCTGCATCTGAAATACTGTAGATTATGGATATCCAACCTTTTGGTCTGCTTGGCCTCATTGAGTGAAAAGGAATCATTTTGGGCCACATATAAAATATATAGTATAGTTTATGTATATAAATCATGTAATAAATTTAAAAGGCTGCATTATTAGGGCCGCATGTGGCCCATTGGCTCTGGATTGGACAGAGTGGTTCTGCACATTTGATTTTTTCAAAATGTGATCAACATCTGCTGGAAAAAAGTGCAGAAGACAACCAAAATTATCAGGGGCTCAAACACTTTTCTTACAAGCGAATATTAGAACATTGGAAAATTTTAGTTTAGGAAGAATGATTGAGGTGTACAAAATCATTCATGGCAGACAGAATTGTTTTCTCTTTTGTCAAATCACGAAAACTAAGTCATCCTTTGAAGTTGATTGGAAGATTTAGAACAGATAAAACAGATTTAGAAACCAATTCTTCATCTAAGCAAATAATTCACCTAAGGCATTTATTACTGCAAGAAACAGACTAAATTGGATTAATGATTTTAAAGAAGGGTTGGATATATTCCTGGAGGACAAATCTATCAAGTGCAATCAATTTTGAAGGCTCAAATGTTCCCTCTGATCTCAGGGCAGCATGTCTTCAAGGGGGAACAAAAGCAGGAGAGAGATTTATCTTCTGCTCAAAGTACCTTAGAAGTATCACATGCTGGACTAAGATGGGTCTTGGTCTGAACCAGCAGGATATTCTCATAGTTCTATGTTAAGTGAAGGATCAAAAGATAAAAATCCATTTTGAGTCAAAGCCTATTCCTAGTCACTAAATAAATTTAGGCAAATTAGAACATTGCAGTTTAGGGAGTTATTACTACAGACTATTAGTACTGCATGAAGGGCTTTTTGCAGCTGGGGGCTGAATTTTCAATATTTCTTTTCTGGTCAGGATCTGCTAGAAATGACAGTAACATGAAAGTAATTGAGAAGCAAGGCTGTTTTGAGGTAGGGGCTAGTGTGCAAAATAGGTGCATTAGATGAAGTTTACAAACTAAACACAAGCTCTAAAGCACGATCTGGAAGTGCTAAGGGTATGCAACCCACAAGTTGTCCATTCTGTACAGTAATCGACAATGCTGGTTTATCCTTAAGATTTAGAAAATATTGAATTTAGATGCAGTGTACACCTGTGATTGGCATAAGTGCTGCTTGTTTTGAAGTGGAGCTCAATCCTTGGTGACTAAGGGCCATCCTGGCAACAACAAATTTTTTTATTTTATTTATTTTTATTCATTTTTATATGCCGCCCTTCTCCGGAGACTCAGGGCAGCTTACAATGCGTTAAGCAATAGCCTTCATACTTTTGTATATTTTATACAAAGTCAGCTTATTGCCCCCACAAACCGGGTCCTCATTTTACCCACCTTAGAAAGGATGGAAGGCTGAGTCGACCTTGAGCCTGGTGAGAATTGAACTTGCAGTAATTGCAGGCAGCTGGATGTTAAATGCTGCCTTAGTAGGCGGCATTAGCCTCCTACGCCACTCAGGCTTCAAAATGATTTGAAATTCCACTGAAGGATTGTTTTTTTTTAAACTTCCCAGGCTAGCCTAGAGTCCTGAAACTTGTTGGTGTTTGCCCACGCATGTATTAACTAGGTTCAATTCTAACTTGTTTGAGGCCAGCTAAGGTTGACTAGATGTTGCCCCCTGTGGAGGCTGAATGCTGCTTATCAATGTCTTTATTCACCACTGTTACATTTGGTTGCACATAGCTGATCTCATATAAAACCTTTCTCCCTGCTGTTGAACTTATTTCAGGTGGACAGCAGGTGCATTGGAGATTCCTAAGTGATTTTGTCTGCTCACCTGGCTCAATTTTAAAAAATGAAAATATAGAAAAAATATCTAAGGGCCCTAATAAAAATATCTAATTAAATAGCCATATGTAGCTTGAGCCATTGGTATTCAAAGGAATACATTTGCATTCTGTTAAATACCAGATTTATTTGAATTGCACTATTTGTTATCAACCAGTTTTATTAAGCATGTACGACTAGTGTAACATTACAACTCCTGTTGAATCTCTTAGAAAAGTTCTAATTATTCCAGATTAGAATGCTGGCGCCAACATTAATAATTTGAGCCTAAAATGCTATCAATATGCTGTACAATATATCACTAGAAGCAATACTAAGGACAAAGGGACTGGTTCATCAGTCTAAATTTACATACCAGTAAAGTAAAATTGGGTTCATAGTGATTATGAAATCCTGGTCATCATAAAAGCAGCCATTTTCCCTTCAATGAATCTTGGTGGATGTTCATTGCTTAATAACTTGCAGTTGCATAAGTAAATTATGTCTAGTGGATGTTTGAGTGACATACTAGAACAGAGGTGTCGGGCTGGATGCACAGGGCACACCCACCCCAGCTCCACAAAAGGAAAAAAAACATTGCAAAACATCATGTGATGGGAACGTGACACCGCGAGTTTGACACCCATGTACTAGAAACTTTGTATTAGTGTATTTGCTTTGTGATGTCATCAATTTGCAATCCTGTTGAGTGAAGAACATGCAGGAATGAATAAGAGATGAGACTGATCTCTTGTAAGAAAAATGGGCCATTCCAGTTAAAAAAATGTTGCATAATTTTTCATTATAAATATACAGTATACTGCTAAAACAGCCTTTCTCCAAAATATCAATGAGATTATACCATTAAAATTTAAAGCTTCACTCGGGCCATATAATATTTTGGGGAAAATAAAAAAATTTGAACTGAAACACGAATTTATTTTATATGAAAGAGAAGCAGAAAATCCTTTACAAAGGTTTTTATGGCATATTGCCGGTAAGGATAACAAAATCCCTTTAAAAAAAAATTAAATTATTAGTGCATATATCAGGAAATAGCTTCAGTTTTCTTGGAATGAATCAAATCAACTTGAAAAAATAATCTTTGGTTTTCTATGTGTGGAAAGCACAAACTAGCGATCTATATGTAAATAAACTTATATGAAATGAATGTAAATTTTAGAAGAATATACTATTTTTGCATGAAATCGAGGAATTTAACAGATGTGCTGATGTCTCATGGAAAATATACAGATGGCTCATACTGTAGTTGCACATTAGTTTGCTTTCTTTACATTCCTCTCACAGTTTTAATTGAACTTGCACTAAAGGTAGAACTGTTGTTGCTTGGTAGAATTTGCCTTAAGTCTACATGTCTCTAAATGACAGTATGCCAGTGTGCTGCATGTTCTAACTTCATTCCATGTGTCATCCTTTAATTTGAACTTTCCACAATGTGGATCTGGAACAGCTAACTAGTAGAAACATCATACTTTGCTTGATGCCCTTTTATAAACCAAAATATCCTTTCATTCATTGGGAATGTTCCTCAGTAGAAAGCAACACTACTTTTAAAAAAAAAATTACCTTCAAAGTTACTGGTAATAAAGGTATAAGGAAGCAAACTTTTTGTCATTTTGGTTGTGTTCAGTACTCGAGCAAGCAAACATGCTGTAAAGCCTAGTTTTAAAAAGTTAAATCAATCTAATTTTCACTCCGCCCTGCTAAGTACTTCATGTGCCACAGGAAATCAGATGAAACAACACTGTCATTCCCCAAACTTAATCTTCTGCAGATGTGGTGGCACTATGGTTCCCAGAAATCTCCAGCTGTATGTTAGCTGGAGAATTCTAGGTGTTGAATTCCTAACATATCTAAAGGAGATGAGGCTGCATTTAGAGTTATATCAATCCACACTAGAAAAAGTTGTAAAGTATAGCTTCTAGATGATTATAACAATTCCTATTAAAAACAAACAAGTAAGCAAATGCCCCAAATATCCAAAATAAAAATATATATCAATGAATAATACTCAAGTCAATACTGAAGGAAAGGAATTCCTTCATAATGATTATTTCTACAAGAGTGAGAGGGTTGAGCATATTCATTCTATTTTTCCTAATTTGCTAGACAGGTTAAGCAAAATAGTAAAGCTGAATAGATTAAAAGTAGTTTCTATCAAGAGGAAAGGAGACTTCATTCCTTAAGTAAGCATACTTACTTAATACTTAATATACTTAATACTGCATGAGCATGTATCTTGATTTATGCTCATTTCCACATCAAGGATGATGAAAAAAATTCCATTCACCCTTCTAACCTAAACCAAGGTATTCATTCCTGCTGTTACTATTGAAGAATTTTGCTTAAGTATTTTCCCCCTAAATAAATTGCTACATTTTGCTGTTCTTTTGAAGGCAAACATAAAATGCAATTTAAAAATAGTTAATAGCAACTTCAAAACAGTTGCAAAAGTAGTTCTGATTTTGTAGAAGCAATTAATAATTAAATAAAGAAAAATTCTATCCCTGAATAAATCAGTTAGGAAACCAATCGAAGGGATTTGGGATCTAGTGGCTTCAACATTACTTCCAGAATTCTCCATTATGGTCTCTACTAGCAAAATTGCTACCTGTAAACATGTCATGTTCTTGAACATTTCCACCATTAGGGTTTTCAGGGCTAATCTTCTGTCCTTCCATGATAGCATCTTTGTATTATGGGTGGTGCAGCAGCTCTTCCAATCTGTCCAAAGGAAGCTCAGTTGGATTCCATTTTCTGGATTTGGGATTAGTCTCAACATCCTGAAACCAAATAATGCAACCATTATTCAGGGCATCATAAAAATATTAATGTGTTTTTGTTGCATTATACTCAAGTAGAAATTCTATCCTGTTTTACCAGGGCGTATGTCCTACTGAACGCATTATAATTTACTTCTGAATAGATATAGCTGTTACATCATTAAAATGCGAAAATAAGACATTAAACAAATAGCAGCTTTAGCATGTCCAGTTTTAAGAGAACAAAATTAATGCTGCCTAAACATGTTTAGAAAAGAGATATTTCAGCATGTGCAACTTTTAATCTTGCATGAGGATCCGAATCTACCAAAATGACCTCTTCCTAAGAAACACTAACCAGTACAACGTCCTGCGCTCTTCTGCACTGAGTTATACACCCTGGTTGTAAGCAAGAAAACCAGGAAGAAAAATAATTCATAGGTTGTTTTCCAGTTATTTTTTTTTTCTGTGAGATAACAGCACCTGACCATACTTTTCTATCATGCAACAGAACAACATATCTGCATAGAAATAAACTGCAAGTAAATCAACCATTTACTTATATATTATTTATTCTATTTTCAACAAAAAGTGAAGATTAAAAATGTCAATGATCAATTAAAATATCTGTAATTAATCATTTTTTGTTTCAATTTTGGGATATCCGCATGTACTATACACTTAAAATGCAAAGGGGAAGATGCAGACTTTTATTTTGTAAAAAAAATGTCAAGTTTATCAAATTTGTTAATATTCCTCTTGACTGATAAATAAAATATTTTTTAAAATTCTGTTTTATTCCAATAATCTGTCTATGGACTCAATAATGAATTGTACAGAAATGAATGCCTATTTTAAAATGTGTGGACTTTCCTTTTGAAAAAAAATATCCACAAATACACGTTGGAAATGAATTCGGTGAACTCATATTCCAATATTGAAAATGAAGACAATTTTTGAGCTCCTCCAATAGTTTGACAGTATTACCAACCAAAAAGACGGTATTATAAAAATGTATAGCTTTTTTCAGATGTCTTTAAAATAACAAGTTGAAAGAACTGTTCTGCTTATGTTTTCCCTTAGTGTCTGACAATACTGTATTCAGATGACAGAGAATGTTACCTTCTGATTGCACGTAAGGAGAAATACTGTAAGGAATAATAATGCAAAGGCTATGGAGCCATATGATCTGTCAGACCTCAGATCTTCAAGTTTTAATAGCAAAAAAAACAAAAAAAAAAAACCCACACCTGCATTTTTAATTTATTTCTGTTCTTATAGTATGAACTTGGGTTCTATGGGAACTCTCTGAGTTTAAAGCCTTTATTGACATAACCGTATATATTTGCAAATAAGCCCATCCATGAAAAAGCCAACCCTCAAATTTTTAACCACAAAAATGTGCCACCCATTGATAAAATAAGCCTTGGATTTTTTTGTACATTTTTTTCAATAAATTCTAAAGTATTTCATTTGTTTTTATATTTTGTATCAATAAATGCTTTACAGAACAGATTCTAGTTTTAAAATCTTTTCCTAATTGGCTTATCCCCTACATCAGGTATGTCAAACTCACGTCGTCACAGTGGCGTCACATGACATATCAGAACTTTTTTCTCCTTTGCTAAACCTGGTGTGGGCGTGGCCAGCACATGACGCATCTGGCCTGCGGGCTGGGAGTTTGACAACCCTGTTCTACATGGTGCATTTTTCAACAGCTCCCATATTCATGTGTTGCCCCTCAGACCTTCACTACCTCAAATCCTAATTGCAAAACTGGCCAGGCATTAGCTTAAGGAATGAAAATTGCCATTCCTGACACAGACTGACTCAAGAACTGGTGTAGCCCAGAATCCCCTCTTTTTATCCCCAAAAGTCATTATAACATATGATGTGCTATGACATGATATATGATATATAACATAACATATAATATAGTATAATACGGTGCAGTGGCCTAATTAAGACACTGGGATTGTTGACCGGAAGGTTGGCAGTTTGAGATCTAGGATACTGCATGACCAGGTGAGTTCCAGTTCCTGCCCCAGCTTCTGCTGACCTAGTAGTTTGAAACAAAATGCAAATAGATAAATTGGTATCATTTTGGTGGGAAGGTAACAGCATTTTGTGCACCTTGGCATATAGTCATGCCAGCCACCTGATCATGGAAATGACTTTGGATAATGCTTGGCTCTCTCGGCTCAGAAATGGAGATGACCACTGCCCCCTAGAGTTGGACACAATTGGGCAGGGGAAACCTATAATAATGTCATATTATATTATCATATAATATCACATATATTACATACCATATCTCAATCTTATATCATATATATATACCAAATCTTTTTAACAAGATTCTGGCTTTTGTCTGCTGCATACATACAATTAAAACACAATGTGTCTTGTCAATCCGACAAAGGCATCTCCTTGAGTGACAGTGGGAGTACAAAGATATACAGAGTCTTCTGTATTTAAAAAGCCCGAAAATTCTACGTTAGGTTGTGCACACACAAGTAAAGAGATGATAATAATGCAACAAGCCAAATTATACGGCAGGAGTTGGCGGAAATACACTCTTCAAACTCTCTTTAACACTCCTCTTAATTCGCAGAAATCAATCCCCCTTTGGAAGGATAATGGTATCTGCCACCGAACGCATCTGGAAAGTACCACATTAAGAAGCGAGAAGCACGAGAAAAGCAGGCACGTGTAAAGCCAATCAAATATCGGCAGCCGGGCTTCTGATTCGATCGAAGCCATTCTGCAGATTCTTCTCATTTAGATGTCCAGCCACGGCGGTTCACGAGCAGAACAAATGAGGGGAAAGAAGGGAGTGCGTTGAGGACTCCGATAGGATCATTGGATTCGTTCCTGAGCGGTGATTGGATAAAAGCCGCTGCCTATCAGAATGCCGAGCTGTCTTTTTTTTTTTCCCTCCCCCATTGCCTCTCCCCCAGGAGCAGACCGTCGGTCTGTTATTAAGGAAGCTAGTGAGGTGGGCGGAGGGGCTGACGGCGGGTTGTCGTGTGGGGGGAACCGTTTGTGGCCGTAGGAACTCTCGAACACGAGGTTCTCGTCCTTTCGCTAATATTTTTCAGAGTTATATTTTTTTGGGATAGCTTTTGCTACCCTTCCCTAAAATCAGGCGGTCACGTTAACTATAAGGCAGTTTGTTCACCTGCATCACCTGTGTCATCTCAGCTTGGGCCCAATCTTTACAATCGGATCTGGATTTATAATTGCATCCAAGCATCCTTATTTCTCCCACACCTTCATCTCTTCATCTGCTGATTCTTGGCTGTTCTGCTTTTCTCCCTATATTGGCTAAATGTGCACTTCAGCTCTTGAGAGTGTCCTCGAAGTAGCATATATTAATGCAAACCTAATTATACCTTTTGAGTTACCTGTCTGTATAACAAACAATATTCCTCTAGAAAATACATTTTGGGGCACTTTCTCTTGGAGGGCAATTGGTATTTGACTTCGTTGTAGAAATAATAAATTTGGAGTTGGTTGCTGCAGTTCCTGGGCAGCATAACAGAGTTAGTGGGAAGGGACAGTGGGAGTCTTCCAGACCAACTCCCTGCTCAAGAAAATCCTAGTCAAATCCTGATTTCTTTTTTTTAGGACACATTAAGTTGGGTTACTACTTTATTCTCTGAAATGATATCCTTATGTTCTTTTTTGTGTCAAGGTTTGTTGTACCTTGGTTCCTGTTTTCCTGAGCCATCATGGCTTGGGTAGAGCAAGTATTGACAACCAGTATGTCTGAAGATCATTAAGCTTCAGAAAGATGCCTTGGCTTATATTTGACTTAGATATTGTCTTATTTTCTTTTCCTTTTAAAGACAGCAGTTCTGAAGGAAAAAAAGCAGACAAAAAGAGGATGGATTGGATGAAATTACGTTCATATTCCGGGAAGAGACAAATGCAAAAGAAAACACATTGTGCTTCTCCGTTGCCTGCTAAAACAGCATCTGTTGCAATGGTCAGAATGAAGAGTAAAGCCAAAACATCTCAGGAGCACCCAAATCTGCTTTCTAAGTTTAGCTGTGATCCTCAGGTGAAAAGTACTGTTGGTAAAAAAAAAGGTGAGATCTTCATGGAAATTTAAAGTGTTTTTATTTAGAGTGATGTTTCAGACTGTATAATCTCTGTTTGTACTTTTTTTGATCATCATAGAGAGCTTCTAGATGAACTGAAGACTGAAGATCAGATTTAGTTTGAACATTTCTCTACAATGCAAAGAGAATAGTTAAATGATATTATTTGTTCCATCTCATTTAAATTACTTACGTTTTCCATGAATTTGATTTTCAATGAATATATAGAAGGAAAACAATACAGCTCTAAGCCTCAAGATTTTTCACAACAAACGTTTTTTTTCCTGTATGAAATAAATGAATTTATTGCTTATAATTCCTGGACTGTGGTGAACTGAATCCTGCTTAATGTAGATATAAAATCATTATTGGAATCACTTTAAATCCTCTCAAAGATCTGAAGATGCAACTTCAAGTTTTGAGGCAAAATATTTTTTAAAATGCCGCACCCCATCCTCTGGCCTTCCTTGAGTTAAGGGTGAAGGTCTGAAGTTGAAATGTGGTTATGTACTCCTGATTTTATAGGGCCCTGGATCTCATAAAAATATACAGGGCAATCATGGTTAGTTCCTTTTAAGTCTGAAGATTCATATGGAAGAACCAGGTGATTTGGTGAGGCCTCATTTCATCTCTATGCTTCCGTTTCCTGAACAGTTTGTACTTTCCAAATAGTTTCCTTCTGCAATCCGAGTCAGGGGAGTGTCAGGAGTTATTTATTGCATAACTCTAAGAGAAATACTGTAAGTTCTAGTTACACCACAGCCTTATGTGTTTTATTAGGAAATTTCTTCCACAATATACTTTGTGGCTTGCTTATTGCCCATGTGTGCTATAACAAGTGGATTATTCTTTGAATTGAGACCTAGGTTTGAGATGGAAGAGAAACACCACCACCCTGCAACTAATTCCTAGACAACTTTTGGAATGTGTCAAAAGTGCATTTATCTAGAATTCAAATGTTCAAAGAGCCTTGATTTTTTAAAAAAGGGTTCATATTGGTAAAACAGATTTTAAAAATTTGTTTTCTGTAGGCTGATAGTTTTTGGATGCAGAAAAGCACTTTGTGCTGGACAGGGGAGGGAAGGTCTACCTGGATTTTCGTAGGCCTGAAATGGGTGTAATATATACTGCATTTGGTTTATAGCCTGCACTTCCTTATTTTTTCTTAAATACAGGTAGTCCTTGATTTACGATCACAGGTGAATCCAAAATTTCTGCTATTGAGACAGTTAAGTGAGTTTTGCCTCATTTTATGACTTTTCTTGCCACAGTTGTGAATTATTGCAGTTCGTAATTTAGTAACACGGTTAAGTGAATCTGATTCCCCATTGACTTTACTTGTCAGAAGGTTGCAAAAGGGAATCACATTTATTTTATTTATTTATAAAATTTATATTGCCACCTACTCGCACATGGCTACTCAAGATGGCTTACAAGGACATAAAAACACAATATAAAAGCAAAAGAATAAAAAGCAAAAGAATAAAATAATAACCCCCTCACTCTGGCGACAACACACATTCATACTAGCCATTTAATGGGCTCCATCTTGCTCTGGGTTCCCCAAGCCAGCTGGCAGAACCACGTCTTCAGGACCTTCTGAAAGAGTGCTAGAATGGGGACCAGTCTAATCTCCGGAGCCCAGGACACTGCAACTGTCATAAATATGAGTCGGTTGCTAAGCATCTGAATTTTAAATACGTGACCGTGGGGATGATGCAACAGTCGTGTGAAAAATGGTCATAAGTCACTTTTTTCAATGCAGTAACTTTGAACAGTCACTAAATAAACTGTTGTAAGTCAAGGACTACATGCATTTCTAAGAAGCTTTATGGAGAATATTCTGGTTCTGAATTCCAGAAGCACTTTAGGAACAAGAAACAATGCCTTCTGGTTCATTTTTAGTTACATGGATAGCAGAGGTGAGTTTCAGCAGGTTCTGACCACTTCTGGAGAACCGGTAGTGGAAATTTTGAGTAGTTCGGAGAACAGGTAGTAAATATTCTGACTGGCCCAGCCCCCATCTATTCTCTGCGTCCCAAGTCCCAGCTGATCAGGAGGAAATGGGGATTTTGCAGTAACCTTCCCCTGGACTGGGGAGGGAATGGAGATTTTACAGTATCTTTCCCCTGCCACACCTACCAAACCAAGCCATACCCACCAAGCCACGCCCACAGAACTGGTAGTAAAAAAATTTGGAACCCATCACTGATGGGTAGGTTGTTTATTCTATTAGACTTATATGCTACTCCAGTCATAACTAATCCTGAGCAATGTGCATACCGATACTTTATAGCAATATAACTAATGTAATACAGCGAGTCCTCAACTTACAACTATTTGTTTAGTGACCAAAGTTACAACAGCACTGAAAAAAATGATTTATGACCATAACAATCGTTGCAGCATCCCCATGGTCACATGATCAAAATTCAGATGCTTGGCAAGTGGTTCATATTTATGACAGTTGCAGTGTCCCGGGCTATTGTGGTCATCGTTTGCAACCTTCTGACGAGCAATATCAATGGGGAAGTCAGATTTATTTAACTACCATGCTACTAAATTAAGAACCACAGCAATTCACTTAACAACTGTGGCAAGAAAGGTCGTAAAATGGGACAAAACTCACAACTGTCTCACTTAGTAACAGAAATGTTGGGCTCAATTGTGAGCATAAGTTGAGGACTACCTGTAAAATACTCCACTGAACAGCTAATGCAAACATTTCATTTTTGCAAAGAGGCTCAAAGCTAGCTGAAAAAAAACAGTTCTTAATTGATTTTTTGAAAACTTAAAGCTGAAGCCGATTTGATTTCTAAGGTATATGTTGTTCCAGAAAAAAGGAACAGTGTCTGAAAAAGGCCTTCAGATGATACCTTTATACCATGGGTGTCTATACTTTTGGCTTGCCTGGGCTTCACTGAATGAAGAATATAGAATATAGTTAATGTATATAAACAAATTTTATTTTAATATTTTTTATTATCTCTTATGGGGCCACATTACTAGTAGTCCAGGGTCACATGTGGCCCATGGGACATGGGTAGGATACACACGCTTATACAGTAATGGCACAAGTCCATTGTGATCTTTATTTTTGAAAGTTTAATGGATGAATAAAAACAACCAGGAATAGGGCTTATGATCTTATAAAGGTAACAACAAACCCCTTGAAATGGTCCCAAAAGCAAACTAGTAACCAGTGCAGCTCTCAAAGCAGTGATGCTGTGTGTATGTATGTGAGTAAATTGTGTGGGTCTCGTAACTGCCCAAACCACTCCATTTTGGACTAGTCAAAATTTTTAAATGGCATCCCCATGGACGGCATATTGCAATAGTCCAACTGAAAGATGACTCAGTGAATGAAAGCAAGGCCTTCTAGTTCAGGGAAGGTTATAACTAATGCATCAGAAGAAGCTGTGTGAAGGCTTTTGGAGCCACAGTGCCATGTGCTCTTTCAGAACAGTTACGACTCCAGGAGGAACACACACACACACACACACACACACACCAGGGGAGGGCTTCAAAACCCGTCGCTACTGATTTGCTCGTGGGCGTGTGTGCTCGATGCTTCACATGCGCAGAAACATCCGGGCGGGTGGGCCCAGCCTCCCGCTGCCGCTACCGGTTCACCCGACCCAGGGCGAACCAGTAGCAACCCACGACTGACACACACCAGGCCCAGATAACAATTCTTCTTGGGGAAGCATGATCACATCCAGAAGGTGCAATATCTTTTATTCAAACTATAAACATATAATAATTTATGGAAGAGAGACACACTGTTCCTCGTTTCAAACTAAGTGATTGATTCAGGTCTCCTTTTTCAATAATTTTTGACAATGTTTAATCCAGAAATGTGGTTATGAACAGGCTTCACCAAGTGTACTGTAAATGTAGGACATTCTTCCCAATCTCTGAATAGTAACTCGCCTCTTGATTAGTCTGCTACCTTAAAACTGCCTAAACTTGGGAGATTGGATGAATCGGCGCCAGTACCTTATCAAAGAGATTTCTGGAAGAATTGAAGACTTTAATTTCCTAAAACTTCCTTTCCATTTGTATAGCACGTTGGGGGGAAAAACATTTTTCCTTCTTTATTATTGATTTATTATTGATTTTTGTATTGTCTTTTTTTTTCTGTTATTCTTCAACAATAAAAATACAATAAAAAATTTTTTTTAAAAAACTGCCTAAACTTGGAAGAATGAAAGCTTTCTCTTTACTGTAGGTAGATTGCTTACAAAGTTAATTAAATTGAGTAACCAGAAGGGGGAGCATTTCTCCTTTTGAAGAGAAAGTAACTTTAGAGAGTAGGCAAGGTTTTTCAGAAAGGATTTGCCATTGCCTTTCCTAGAGTGAAAGAAAGTGATCACCCAGCTAATTTTGTGCCTAAGACAGAACTAGAACTCATAGTTTCATGGTATCTAGTCTGATGCCTTAGGCACTACACCAAACTGGTTCTCTATGCCCTCTTTACATAAAACAGATCATTTAGGTCAGTGTTTCCCAAACTTGGCTATTTTAAGATGCATGGACTTCAATTCCCAGAATTCCCCAACCAGTATGCCTGGTTGAGGAATTCTGGGAGTTGAAGTCCATACATCTTCAAAGGGTCAAGTTTGGGAAACACTGATTTAGGTGAATGCATGACTTTTAGACTTTTAAGAGGGACGCAGTGGCTCAGTGGCTAAGATGCTGAGCTTGTCAATCAAAAGGTCGGCAGTTCAGTGGTTCGAATCCCTAGTGCCGCATAATGGGGTGAGCTCCCATTACTTGTTCCAGCTTCTGCCAATCTAGCAGTTCGAAAGCACCTAAAAAATGCAAGTAGTAAAATAGGAACCACCTTTGGTGGGAAGGTAACAGCGTTCTGTGCGCCTTTGGCGTTGAGTCATGCCGGCCACATGACCATGGACCGCGCTTTGGACAGCGCTCACTCTTCAGCTCACTCTTCAAACGGAGATGAGCACTACCCCCTAGAATCAGGAACGACTAGTACATATGTGCAAGGGGAACCTTTACCTTTACCTATGACTTTTAGATAAGCTTAATAATGCTGAAGATTTTAAAACTCTATTTTCCTCTTTCCTCCTGCTCTTGTAGTAACTTTTGCTCTTCCTTCTGTCTTCTTAGGGAAAATGAAAAGCACTGTAACAAAAGCATTACCAAAAATTCAAGAATACTCTGAAGTGACTCAGAAAGTTTGTCCTTCATCTGAAGAAAGGTAGGGAATAATAGGCATTCAGGACTTCCAAAGGTATTTTTGTTTTAATCTTATGAAATGTTTTAGATCATTTTGTGTTAACAGAATAATTGCACGGGGACTGGGGATGATGGGACTGTAATCTAAGGGAATGGTGTTCTTGGACCAGTTTTCTTATCAACAGCATTCTCATTAAATGAATGCTCAGGAGCAAACATAATACACTTACTGTTTTACTGAAGGAAGTTGTAGATATCTGAAAACATCTGAAATAGACTCTGAAAATGTAATTGCCCTCATTTTTTTCTACATAGAATTGAATTAAATTGCAGTGAATATAGAAGTATGGAGGTAACCAACGATATCAATGACATGGAAACAACTCCTTTAAAGGTAGACATAGCATTGTGAGATGACTTTAATTGAATAAAGTTGAGGATAATATACAGGATTCCATTAAACCATATTCAGCTGTGATTGTAATTTGAGAAAGTTGATCATATCTGGTTCCTATTGACTTAGATTGGGTTTACACAATACTCTGAATCATAAATTAACCAAACTACTCATTTAAGTCATGAAACATTAACCAGGGTTAAAACTAAATTTAGTATGTTTTATAAGTTTACTAGGATATGGAGAAGTGTGCAATGGGAAGTTAAGAATATTTTACACAGCAAGACATTGTCCTGGGAGATTGTGGGGTCAATTCCAGTCTTCTTGATGAGAAGGATATGATAATCATAGTAATTTATTAAATTTATGTGCTGTCTGACTCCCAGCAACTGTATGCAGTTTACAAATGGTCAAAAAATTTAAAACAACTATACAAAAATATAGAAGAAAGTAATAAGATGTCGAATAAAACAACCCGATGGGATGATAAGCAGTAGACCAGCGTGTGTATGTATATATGTATGTACTGTATTTTTCGGAGTATAAGACACACCTTTTTCCCCCCTAAAAGGGGGTGAAAATTGAGGTCGTATACACTGAATGTAGCCCCGCCCACTCACTGGCCCCCACCCTTTGGCCTCTGCCTCCCAGCAGTTTACCTCCTTGCAACAAGCAGCAAGAAGAAACAGCTCATTTCAGCTTCAGCACAGCCTAATTAGCACAAGTTGATTGGGTCGGCCTCCTGACTCTCAGCTATCTTGCTCTCAGCTGTTTTGTCCGGGCCTCTGCTGCTTGCTGCAAGGAGGTAAATTGCTGGGAGCAGGTTTTTTTTTTCTTGTGCTAATCAAGCTATGCTGAAAACGAATATGAAAGTAAAGCAGGCTATTTGCTGTTTGCTGCAACGAGGCAAAATTGCTGGGAGTCAGAGGCAGATTTCTTTTTCTTGTTTTCCTCACCAAAAAAGGTAGGTGCGTCTTATAGTCCAGAGCGTCTTATACTCCGAAAAATACGGTATGTATTTTATTTATTGTTTGTTTATTTGTTTTGTTTGTTTGCTTGCTTGGTAATATGGCTTTTTTGTGTTCACTGGTGTAATAGTTTGATCATAAGAATGATTGAGGAAAAAATTGCTATCCCAAAATTACAGCATAGCTTGGGGTAGTTTAACTGAAGAAAACGTGTGAAGGATCACTTCCGTATAACAATGTTTGAGAAATGTTATGATGATAATGTTATTTGCTGTGATATCTGGTCTTTCATTGTTGCCCATAGGATTCCTTGCATTTAGCCTCTGCAAGTACACAAAGCCTGAGATACAGTGAAGCTACTTCAGGTGAGAGTTCCCATGTATGCTGTGCTATTCTTTTCAGTATAACTTGAAGCCTTGATTTTGCACATGGGTCTCAAACAGTAACATTGATGTATAACATCCCTGCTCCATGTCAGTTTTTCTCGATTGAAGAAAAATAATAAACGATTGATATCGTTTATTATTTTTTTGTTGTTCAAATGTGTTATAGTCCTCCAACTCCAAAATCAAAAAATCCATAAATACTGATAAAACATAAAACACATGTAGTCTGGACTAAAACAACCTCAAAGGCAATACAAATCAAACACCTCAAAAATACAAGGATACATTAACTCCAGGCCAGGGACCAAAACCAGATTTTAAGAGCTTTTTGGAACCCAAGGAGAGAAGACCCAGTCCTTACCTCTAGGTCAATGCTGTTCCAGGGGGGGTGGGGGGGGGGGGCACAAGAAAGGACATGCTTTCTCAGTTTCACAAGATGTCAATGTTTAATAAAGAGGACGTGCTGTGTGGTCACGTACAGAATAAGTGAAAACTATTGGAGAAAAGCGGCCCCTCAGCTATCCAGACCCTAGATGATAATTTGGGATTGTATATGTGAAGAAGTTGTATTAATGGACGAATCTAGAATTGTGCTAGATTTTCGTAGCTAGTTAACTACTCAATAATTGGGTTTTGAGTTTGTGGTCATGATGTCATGTCAGGCAAAATTATTATTAATTTGAAAATTTTAGAAGGTTTTTGAGCTGTGGTCTTCAGTCTGATCTATCCCTTCTGTATCTCAAAGATAAGAACTATAAATGAATTTTCAATCCTGTCACCATGGGAAATGGTAGTTTATAGTGAATGGCCCTTTGTAGTAAGCATTGGTTTTCCATACTTATTTCTTTAGATAAATTCTGCACTACTTCTCTATAGCAGTTGAATAATTAGAGTAAACACTTGATTTAGCAGACCATTGGAGGAGATAAATATATATGTGAAACCTAGATGTCTATTAAATGCACAAATGAGCCAAATCTACACAAACAATGCAATTTATATGAATAATCTGGAATTCTTCAGATACAACTGATTAGTTTGAGGTAATGTTGGGAGGAAATTTTTATCTGTTGAATCCCAAATCTGCTATAGCAGGATTCTTTAAAAGTTTACTGGTTTGGAGTATGATTCAAAACAGGTGTTTGCCTGGAAATATGATCACTTAAAAATTTTCATGTTCCCAAAATAAGATTAACCAGAAAATTGCCCATTTTTTCCTCAGTGAAGCTAAGAGAACTCTGTCATTTAAAGTTATATTATTTGGGAGAAATGTAATTTTGGGAATTTCAACTTTACTAAAGATGCTTTAGAAAATATAATACTGTATAAATAAGAATAAATATTATCTATAATATATATATATATATATATATATATATATATATATATATATGTATAAATACATATTTGATTAATTGCATTAGATAGGTATATATAGAATTGTAATTATTTGCATATATATATATATATATATATATATATATATATATATATATATTGTTTTACTTTGTTGCATTTCTTCAAATTTTTTTGTTGACAATGGATGTATTTTTACCATAATTATCTTTGAGGTGTTTTTCCCTTTTTTGGTCATTATTTCTAAAGGATTAAAATGAATAAAAATAACGTATAAGTATTATATTGTAATGTAAATAAAGATTTGTCAACCAATTAAAATGTACTTCAGCACACAAGTCCCCTTGATATTCTTCCTGATTAATATGTTACGTTTGTTTACTTTTGCTTTTTAATTGAAATAAAAAAATAATACACAGTGAAAAAGAAAATTTAAAAAATCATACAGTATATACATTTTTGACAATTCCACCTAAGCATTTCAGTAAATGGTATTCATTACAATCATCCATAGCTAATCAGTGTCAATCAAATTTGTCCATATGTTCCTTATAACATCAATTTAGCAGACCATTGAGTGGTTGGAATTTTATGTTTATCCCACCAGCCCAAGTTTTCTGATTGCTTATTAAAGGCAAATCCGGTTTTAACAGGATTGGTGTGTATTGTGCATGTTTATTCATTTAAGAACATATTCACAGCAACTAAATTTGTATATGTTTGTGTATGTATAATTTGGTGTAATGGTTAAGGTAGTGGCCTAAAAACCAGGAGACTATGAGTTCTAGTCCTGCCTTAAGCATGAAAGCTAGCTGGGTGAATTTGGACCAGCCACATTCTCTCAGCCCAACCCACTTCACAAGAATGTTGTTGTGAGGAAGGAGTATTAAATATGTTTGCCACCTTAAATTACTTATAAAAATATAATAAAAGGCGGGATAAAAATGTAATTAAGAATAGCTACCGTGTTTCCCTGAAAATAAGGCCCTGCCTTATATTTTTTTGAACCTTGAAATAAGCGCTTGGCCTTATTTTTGGGGAGGTCTTTTGGGGCACGTGGCGTAAAACAGGGCTCTTTTTGCCGTCTTACCTGATTTCCAGCTCTGTCTCCCTAACCCTAACCAGAGGAAATGGCGGCGACCGGCTGCGCATGCAGTTTTCAGGGAGGGCTTATTTTGGGGGGGAGCTTATTTTAGCACATGCGCCCGATTGGGCTTATTATCCGGGGAGGTCTTATTTTCAGGGAAACAGGATATATATACAAACTCTTTGAGTATATTTGGTATTGTCTAGGTGATAGGAATACAATTAAGTTTGCTTTTTTCCCCTTTGTCGCTAAATATATTTATTTGAGATAGACAGCACCATTTTGTCATGGAAAAGGATTATTGGTTTATCTTGATCAATTTGTATGCTTCCTTTTGGTTTTGTAACAGTGTGCTCCACAATGGAGAGGTAAGCAATTTGATAAAACTTAAATCTTTCTGTATTCTTTCCCTGTTGCTTCTAGCAGAAGCTTTTCCAGGCTTCTGCAAAGTTAAAATTATCTTTTGATAATGTTATATTTTGCTGTAATTCCAGGAATGACATTACCAACAGGAGTTTCAGACTTTTTGCTGGATTGTTTGGATATGGAGACCACTCTGGACTGTAGTTATACCAAGACTATTGATTCTACAAGTAGTTATTCATCACCTGAAATATTCAGGGATGAAACTGGCTTAGGTACACATTTTAAAAATTATTTGTGAGAATAAATGAAGAAAAGAGATACACATACCTTTCATGTTTTACATATGCACATGTATCTGTTTTTTCTTTGAATTAGAAGGCAGACTATTAGTACATTATATTTCAATATTTTAGGTATAATAAGGGAGGAAAGCAGATTAGTCTTCTGCCCAATCCTTTTTAATTTGCTAATGTATGCATATTCCTTCAATCAACTCATGAATTCAAAATCACTCTTATTTTTTAACTTTTGATTTTGCAATTCCTGATCTAAGTTTCCTAAAGCCAGAGATAAATTAGTTCCATTATGCATTAAGCAAAACATTTGCTTCAGATTATACTCTCATTATCAACCTATTTGTTAGCTCCCCTGAAATATATGGAAATGCTCAGAAGTCATTATAAAAAGGCATTATTAACATTATAGATCTTTCTGAATTTTAATAATAGAAACATTAACTGGATTGTCTTCTGTCTTCAGAAGACACTGCTAGTCCTGAAACACACCTTGCGTGCAAAAATTCAACTCTCTTGGATACCAGCAAAGCCATCAACATAGACAAGATGTCACAACTGCCAGACCTTTCTAAAATACTCGGTAACTTTCAGAATATGATATATAACATTTTATTTAACTTTGCCATTGAAGTTCTATAGAAAAATAGAACAATAGAACTATATATTGAGCAGCTGACTTAGGTCTGGGTAGGCATATGATATGGATGAACTTGTGTCAGGAAATAAAAGAAGCTGGGGGAGAAAAGTAATGGACAGGGCAAACTACATCTGCCAGTTTCCACTGGAAATTACATCATCATTGAAGGCCAAACATTTCTCAAATTTAATTTAGCTTAGGAATCTCTTTGGGAGTAATTCTGCATGTCCTCTCATCCACAAAGCAGCATTTCCTTCTGTTCGTTGCAGGAGCCAGTTTAAAGTATATTGGCTTAATGAAATGCTGTCATATTTCATATTTTACCTCAGCGGAATAAGAATTATATCTGAATATGAAGAGGGGAGAGGAAAGAAGTAGGGTGGGAAAACACTTCCTTTGTTGCAATTAGAAGGTCTAAGGGCCTTTTGTTGTCAGTTCCCCATTTTATGGAGTTATTCTATGGGCTGGAGAATTGACAAAGGAATCCATTATCTTCTTCCTCTTCTGCTACTTTTTGTCATGCATTGCACAAGAGAGATGCGGAGATAAGAGGCTTCCTCTAGTTTTATAGTTCCACTCACAGTCACTTGAGCTAGAAGAGGCATCTGGGGGACATTTTGTCAATTTCACCTCAAACTGGTGAGTGCTACAAGGGACTGCTGGCAGCAAGTGGCCATGGTATCCAAAGGCATTCCATGGAAAAGGGGAAATGGCATTAGAGTAAGCAAAAATGGCACCACCTCTGATGTTTACATGAGATATTCCTCTGTAGGAGGATAGGCAGGGCCAGCAGGTTAAAGCAGCAATCACAATATCCATTCAAATCAGCTGAAATTCTTGAAATGTACTGTTGAAATGGTCAACAGTATATTGGTGCCTGATCCATAAATAAGCGGAGCTGCTATATTAGTGTTTTAAAGCACATAAGTAGTCTCCCAAAAGCCTAAGACATAACTTGCAAAACAGATGGTGGTTAGGTTTTCTGTAAGAAAAGACAGTCCAGCAGACCAAGAGCAGCAGAGGGCCACTCTTAGTAACCAGAGGGCAGGGTCAGTGCTCACAATAGTGTGTTAGTCGACTGAAGTTAAAACACTGCCTTCAAGGAAATAAAGTGTCATAGACAGACTACAAAGCAGCAGTCCCATTTTTGACATAGACCAAAAAAAGACACAGAGATCACTTCATGGTAGGTCAAAGACATGTATTCCTTTCCTACATATTTATTTCTTCTATTTTTATGGGTGTCCCCTTGCCAAGCAACTTTGTATAGCTAACTGAAAATTAAAAACATCAAAATTCAAATTAGAATCCTTAAAAACATGCTGGACACAAGCATATATTATACAACATATTCATGGGTTCATATACCATCCTGCCCCACTGCTTGGGACAACAGCCAAGTCTTCAGGGACTTCATCAAGGCAGGCAGAAGTCAAGTGACAAGTGGTTAATGGGGCACCTTTATACTGGGCAAGTAAAATATGGATGAGCACTATGACATAGGCAATTAGAAATACTGTACTATCTTTTATTTATTGTATTCAGCGAAATTAAATCTCTTCCAGGTACCCCTTTAGGAATCCAAGGCCAATACATTGCCAGGTAAAAAAATTCTCTTTAAATTTGATAATTTGTTTTCCTTATATTAGTGTTTACAAAGCTGCTAATGCAAAACAATTTGTAAGAGTAAAGATGCCAACAATCTTATTGGACTCCAAATGTACTCTCTTAATAAACCAAAACCACAATAGAAGAGTAATTTAAACTGCCATTAGGAACAAGTGACTAGTGCTGTCACTATTGTGGGAATCATTTATTTTACAATCTTTACAATCTATACAATAAATATATTAGGCAGTTGAGAAAAATTATCATAATCAGAAATCTTAAAAGATATGAACTTCTGTAACGCGTGTTACTATTTTTATTTGTATGATTAAGGTTTAAGTCTCACTTGCTGCAGCAATAAGTTTGAGTGCCAGATGCCAATTTCCATTTATATTTCACTCTACAGTAAGGAAATCAACAAAAGCCTTGGATGTGTTATACTAGACTATTTTACTTAGTCAATGTCTCTTCACATTCACTCCCCAAGGACCATTTTATTCAGAGAATGCTTCACATAACCTTTAGAATTACTGGCATTTATGCTTGGGAAAATCTCCAAGAATTGTGGAAATTTTGCTGAGAACTCTACATGTGAGACTTACTGTAGTTTTGAAGACCCCCTTTTAGAGATTACATTTTCGATAGTGTATCTATAAAGGTAAAGGTTTTCCCCCATTCAGTCGTTTCTGACTCTAGGGGGCAGTGCTCATCTCCATTTCATAGCCAAGAGAGCCAGCTTTGTCTGAAAACACTGCCATGGTCATGTAGCCAGCATGACTATACACTGAGGTGCATGGAACGCTGTTACCTTCATCAAAATTGTGCCTATTTATCTACTTGCATTTTCATGCTTTTGAACTGCTAGGTGGACAGGAGCTGGTGCAAGTGACGGGAGCTTATTCTATTTCGTAGTGCTGGGTTTTGAACCTGGCCTATCAGCTTTCCAACTGACAAGCTCAGTTTAACTGCTTTAACTGCTGAGCTGTCACATATCTATTGTGAGACCAATAGAGGTTCATATTAAAGCAAAATTAACCATATGAATGGTTTTGACTGATTAGCTGATATATAATACGTAATATCTCTCCCCTACCTCAGATTGGCTACCATCCTTTTTGTAAGAGCCTTAAATGTCTGCTTCGGCCAGATGGCTTGGGGTCCCTATGGGAGAGTTTCACACTGGAGGTGATTGACTAATTAAAAGCTAACCCCACCTGCTTTCCCATTGTATCCGACTTGTACGTTTTGTGTTAATGATTTTATAGCATTTTATAGCCGATGATTTTAATGGTGGGTTTTTTTTATGTTTGTTATGCTGTAAGCCGTCCAGAGTGGTTTGAAATGAGATGGTCAGCAAATAAATGTGATAAATTAAAAAAATAAATAATATTGCACACAAGTAGTCCTTAACTTATGATCACAAATGAGCCCAAAATTTCTATTGCTAAGCAAGGCAGTTAAGGGACTTTTGTCCCATTTTCTGACCTTTTTTGCCATAGTATGTAAGTGAATCACTGCAGTTCTTAAATGAATCATGCAGTCATTGGGCAAATCTGGCTTCCCCATTGACTTTCCTTGTCCGAAGCCAGCTGGGAAGGTTACAGGTGGTGATCACATGACCTGGGACAGTGCAACTATCATGAATATATGCCAATTCCCAAGTGCCTGAATTTTGATCATATGACCATGGGAATGCCACAACAGTCGTAAGTGTGAAAAACAGCCCTAAATTAGTTTTATCGGTGCCATCGTAACTTCAGAGTGTTGTAAATTGTACAGTGCTTTCCGGTTAATTTTTTTTCCACATCTAAGCATATTGGGCTTCAAACATACTCCACAGTTCTTGATCTGCAGCCATCCTTTGGTATCCAATTGGTTGTGATTTTTGCTGGACGTTGCTCACTCATGGAGCATGTGTCCAGCAAAGCCCATTCCTTGTATTCTCACTGTCTCAAGAGAGTCTTCGGGAATTACTTCTTTGTGGAATTTCCTTGTTTGCGACATGGTCCTTATACGAGATATGAAGAATCCTTCTGAGGCAATGTTGTTGGAAGATATTGATCTTATGAACAATTTTTGTTGTAGATTTCCACATCTCACCGGCATAGATGGTATTTGGTATGACAATGGCATTAAATAATCTGATCTTGGTTGCTGTGTTTATGGCAGACATGGTCCATACTGAGCGCATTTGTTAGAAGACAGCAGCTACTTTGCCTGTTGGCATTTCACATCTGCCTCTGTTCCTCCATCTGTATCCATGATGCTACCAAGATACAGTAATTGAATTCTTCCACAAATTTTAAGGCCTGTCCTCCTAATGTTATCGGGGTCTTGTCTTGAATATTGGTGAATATTATTTAATTAGAGGAACGAAAATATTTCATCTTAATACATGGAGATTTTTATTTGCAATGCTAGTTATAGTTTTTCATAATGTTTGAATATATAATATATTAATACCACAGTCTTTTGCCAGCAGAAAACAATCCAGGCAGAAACTGCCTTCTGAACCCACAAATACTTCAGCTGTGGTAGCAGGTAAAAAAAAAAAGTTTCTTTACTATGTGTAAGGTACCTAATAGATTTTTTTTTCTTTATTACTGAGGTAAGGATTATGTCAACAGCCTATTTATAGCGGTTCCTTTAAATACTCTCTAATCATATGTTATAAAACTTTTACTACAGCTGGACTGCAATCCTAGCACTGAAAATATCATAACTAAAATAGTTCCCTTCTCATCCTCTGCATTGCTTTGCTGTCATTCATGGAATTTGTTTACATGCCCTATAATAATTTGGTATCATATTTTCTCACAAGACTAATCAGGGATTTAAAAATGTATGTCTCGACTTAACTATCAGTAATTTTGGCTTGAGGGAGAGAGAACTCAAGGCAGTGAATATACCTAATAAAAAAAGATTGACCTGTTCAAAATCATCCAGCCAACTTTCCTGCCTAACCTAAGGGAGGCCTAGAACTCTGTCTCCTGGCTTCTAGGCCAGCGTCTTAACTGCTACAGCAAACTGGATCTTCATAGCAGCTGTTAAAATTTATTATGGAAGTTGCACCTTTTTGTGAAATTACATGGCTGTTTTCTGAAGAACGTTTCAACTCTGAAGCTCTAAAATTGGTTGCAATCAATTTAATGAATGTTCATCCCAGATTTTCAGGGAGACCTTACTAGGGAGAATATTCAAAGCAGCATTCTCTACTGTACTCAAATTTGACTCATCTTTGATCATAATAAAATGAACTGAATACCCAGGCATTCAGTTCATTAATTTGTTGAGAACTCTTTCCATTCTCTTTGAACGGTCATGCGTCTGTCTGTCTGTCTGTCTATCAAAATAAATAAAAAAAACAGTTGTACATCTTCTGTTGGATCATCTCTGATTTGGATCATCTCAAACCATGTATTTTTCCTTCCCCCTGGTAGTAGCTTGTACCTTAATATTTTGTCTAAATATTTTATTTTATTTTATAGTATTTTATTTTGGCACAAGACATAATCAAATGCCTTGATCCAATGTCAATAAAGCAGTAAAAATATGCATGCATAATTGTGCATTCATAACCAAGTTCCAGATCATAGCAAATAATGTCCTTACACCAGAGGAGAATGTGCTGAAAGGACATGGTACAGAATATCATGTGGCCAAACTCTTCCTCTCAGGCTGTTAAGCACCTGTTTCCATGCCAATCATAGAGGAATCTGGGAAGAAATGAATGAAGAACAGAGGATGTGCATTCTATTATAAACATAAACAAAAAATTAGACCAGGATTGTGCAAAGGCTGGTGAGCAGAATCTTTAGCAAAGAAAAAAAAATCTTATAAGAGCTATGTTAGTTAGATTAAGGCCACCTAACTAACTCAAGATGGAGGAGAGTTTTTCCCTTCCCCTCATCATTTACGTGATGGTGACCTATCAGAATGGTGATCTGGAGAGCATTTTGGGGGAAGGGAGGGAAATCAAGTGAACAAGGGAAGCCTGATTCTTCTCATATACTAGATTGGAAGACAAGTCGACTGAGACAGGATTGCTCTGGTGAGGAGCACTTGGCACAGAAAACATAAAAATGAGTGTTCCTATCAGTGCAGCTTTATAAGAGATTCTTGTACTGGTTTCAACTCAATGCATGAAGTCCAGCCTTTAAAGAGTATCTTGCTACACTGCCTCAGTTTCCAAGCCTGTATCGGAAGGACTAAAGAGGGTCTGCAACACTTTGATTGGCTGCTAGTGGGGGGAAATGGCAACAAGCTACAAATCACAGCTATTTCTGGCTGCAGGCTGCACCCCAATTTTTTTTGTCACCATGGTAACCGTTGTGAGTACCTGATTCATCTGAAGTAATTGGTACCCTTGGATACATACATCAAGTGCAAAATGTTCATTCCCTCTTTGTAGAGAGATTTTGAATAAAGTGGGTAAGCTATATATAGTGTGAAGATATAATTATATATTCTGAAATTGGGAATAAGCACATGATGCTGTTGATCGGCCTCTGAGTCACAAACCTATGGCTGGCAAAAATAGGGCCAGTTTTTTTCAGATGATTTGAAACATACTGTAGTGTTTTGTTGTATTTTTCAGGGAAACAAGTGTGTAAAATTTTGTCTGCAAATGAAAAAAGACTTAAATCACAGCCTTCTGGGGTTTCATTATTGCTTCCAGAACGAAAAAAGAAGGTAACTATTTTTAATACTCTTCGGCTGTCGTGTATAAATTGGGCAATGCATGATTACCTTTATTTCTGTGCACAGTTACTTGTGTATTTGACCTCTCTACCACAACCCACTGTTTTTATAAGTCTAAGGAGAATATCTTTACTTGTTACAGTGAATCACGATTGTGAGATTTTCAACTGAAGTGTTAAATTATTCGTTGCCAGGCTGTTATAAAAACCATAACAAAACACCCCTTCCAAACAAAGTAGTAACACATCTATATTTATTGATAGAATTGGACATGAATTGGACATGATTCCCACTTGACAATTGTAAGCTAATACTAAAGCATTGCGTCCTTCTTTGGAATATCAAGCTGGTATGAATGATTGAAAGGGGACTGTAATTGGATTTAATGGATAACAAAGATTAACATTCGCTTGAGCTGAGCTCAACCCCTAGCGACTACATGCCTGTCGTCCATGTAGCTTTCATGGCAAGATAACAGAAATTATTTGCTATTATCTCCTGATATATTTTTTTTTCAGATTTCCCAATCTGGTCTACAACCCTAGGGTTTCCTGGTAGTCCCTCATTGAAGTCATAACTAAATGTAACCCTGCTTAGCTTTTTCAGAATTAGCCAAGCCTGATGAAATGCTGCCCCCTTCTACAGCTGTAATAGATTATAACTATCAAGGATAGGGGTAATATGACAGGGCAGGGTTTCTCACCAACATGCTTCCTGTTACTGGTAAATGATGGAAGAATACTCTCAGTGGAATGTGATAGATAGAAGGAAGGATTATTTAACCAGTCCCGTTTGCTTATTCTTGCTCACAATATTTCTCGAGTTTCTCACATATCCAGCCAGTCTTATTTTCAGTTTTGGAGTTAATATAAGAAAATACTTTTTGATACTGTCCTCCTGTTCTTTGATGCAGATGCCCCAGAAGAGGCAATTGAAGTTATTATGGTGTTATGATGCCACCGGACACTTTAAATGGAGACAAGGCTTTTGAGGAAGGAAATCCTTTTTATAGTCTGCATCCTTCTCTTCTCTCATGGACTTATTAGAGGATCTTAAGAAACTGAAGTCACCAAAAATTCCAAAATATAGAGCACAACACTAAGGAGGAGGAAAAAAAACCCATGTTGTTGGCACCCAATTTTACCAGAAAGAGAGACGCCGAACAATGGAAAATATTTTTATAGCAGTTGAGGGTTGCAAAGTGGGAAATCTTAGGGATTTTATTTGCCAGCCAGGTTGGGGAAGCTAGGCAAGTCCTTGTCAGTATCCCTGGAGTTAGTTCTATTGTTAGGCAAAACGGGCCTTTCAGGGGGACACAGGAAGATCCATGGATAAAAGGGAAGGAATATTGCAGCTGATTTGAAGCCTTGGAGTTTTCCTGTAAGAATGCCTCCAGGCTGGACTGTGAGCTGGTGACTTAGGCTTTAATACTTTGGTTTAGATGGGATTACAAGGGGCTTTGTTTTGGGGTAGGGAGGGTCAGTTTGCATCTGATAGGAGGAGGCAATGAGAGGCTGTGGGTTTGACTGTTTGACTCCTCCTTCAGAAAACGGAGGAAAAAGAATGCAGTCTCCATTTACATTGCTAGATCTACTTTCTCCAAAAACATCTTTACAAAAGTGTTCTTTACAATGATGGGGAAATGAGTGTAACCTCCTCCATATAATTTGTTATGTTTTTAAAAATGAGATAAAAAATGCAAAATGCTTTGTTTCCATTAGGTTATTTTAAATGTAAGTACATTTTTCACTAGTCTTGATTTTACACGATACACATTTCCTTTTTTTAACTTTAGATTGAGGATCAGCAATCCGTCAAAAGGAAATGTAGAAAAAAAATAACATTCGAAAATGTATGTTCTATATCCTCTCCTCATGTACTGCCTTCCTATGGAAAAAACAGCTCCAAGGAAATGTGTGGGATTGTAGCATCCAAACCACCCAATGCTGACAAGGTATGTAACTACTGCCTGTATCTGAAGGCCATGGGGAAGGTGGAGTGCATGCACAAAAGGAAAAAAGAAGGTATATAAACCATATTGAACCTGGCACTTAGAAATACTGACATAATGGCAGAAAATCCACAGCTATGACTTATTTGGCACCTTGACATTGAGAATGAGAATGCCTTTATCCATTTATTTCAGGAAAAAGATCCAATGGGGAGAGCACCCTTATAATCAGTGGAGGCTTACTTATTCAACACTGGATACAGGGGTCAAGGCCCCTTCCACACATTTGTGAATGCAAGCTTGCTCATTTGACTTTCCACGGTTTCCGCGTTTGCACAACTGTAGATACTAAATTCAATTTATCAAAATCTGGCACCCATATATGGTAGATGAATCTGGAATTGTTGGATCAAAAGGTTCCAGCTTACAGCATAATCACATATTTTCTATTGCACAAATACTCTGTATAGGGCACATAACCTACAATAGGTTTCTTGCTTTAAATATTTGATTGAGTTTAAAGGGAGGGTATTAATTGAATGCATAAATAAACATCTTTATTTCTTTGCTACTAAATGAGATTTTGTTTTTATTGTGTGCTTATTTTACAACTGTAAACTACCTGGAAATGTTATGTTAAAGTACCTTAATGGCACCAGACATTCTGGCTATTTAAACTAATATTTTCATCATATAGGTAACAGTATAAATGTTTGTTTGAAGTGTGCCACTTAGTAATACTTTTAGGAAAAAATGTCTTTTTTTAAAAATGAGCCAATTCGCTCAATTGCAAAAGCATTAATATCTTTTGAACATTGTTACTTCTGGCAATAAGTATCCTTACTTGCTTGGCAGTTTTGCTTGAAAAATAAACATTGATGTGAAATGAATATCAACCAGAGTTTCCAGTTTAAATGGCTTTTATCAGAAACTCAAGCAAAAGCGAATAAAGGATTATTTTCTGTACATTTTGAATTATCAATAGCTGAGATGCATCTTAAGACTGAAGGTTATATCCAGACATTTTTGTGTTAAATATGTTTCCAGTTCAAAAGAGTATCATGTAACTATCTACTTGAACAACACCTACTCTGATGATCTTGACTCATAATGGTGTCTTATGATAAGCCAGTTTTTTATATGCCAGTATCACAGCATATTTTGACAAAGGGAAGGCTGTTTTGTCTTGCCCAGTTCAGATAAACTACACCTGTAAACTGAAGGTCATGAAATATTTTCCTTGAGAAGCACACTCTCTGATTAACCATAACCCCTTGTATTTTCATTTTGTTTTGTTTACAGTTAGACTTATTGTCCACACATGAAGCCTCAGTCCAGGACAACTGTTTGGCATATAAAGAGTGTCCAAATGTGAATTCAGAAGCAATTGTTCCTCTTTCTCCCCAAAGGACCATTTATCAGGTTATATGTTTATTTACTTTTTCTATGATTCAATATTAAATTAGTATGCGATTGTTTGTTTGTTTGTTTGTTTTATATTTAAAGCATCAAGGTAGTGTAGGAAGTTAGCACCCACCCCTTTCCTAGAAGAGTGAAATATTTTAGGAAATATGAAAAAGGCAGAATATTATATTTCCCTGGATGAGAAATGGAGAAGCATATTTTACAGACAAAGCAGCTCCCATCTTCCTGCCCCCACCCTTTGTCAATGGGCCATTAAGGCCTGGGCCAGTCTATTCTACATAACAAAGATCTGCCTCCTTCAGGCAGAGCCATAGTAGGAATTGCCAAAGATTCAACAAAGATAGGATTAGCCCTCTACACAATAGCAGCAGAAAGTCACCACATGTGACCATCAGCCAGCAAGACCCCCACCCCCTGGGAGTCTGACAACCAATCAGAGTACTCTTTCTGGGCCCCAGGAAGTTCAAAGCCAGAGAGAGCATAAAACCTGATCCCCCCTTTTCTGTTCAGGAACTCAAGCCATGTGATCCTGTCCACCATTAAACCATCTTTCCAAGCAGTCTCCATGTTTCCAGTGTCTGTTTCCCCACTTGGAGCAGAACCTAGAAGGATGTTTCTTCCAACAGTAGAATAGAACAGGATTTCAAATGTTTTCAAAGTTCTGTCTCTGAAATGTGATATATTCTTAGGTCTGGTTTTCTTCTGGTTTACACTTTAGATGAAGATATTGGTTCTGAACCATGAATTACTCACTTACCTCCTTTATTTGGGCTCTTTCTTGTTTTAATATATGCACTATAATTTCAAGTGTCACTTTTTTTTCTAAAGTGTTTTACAAAAACATCTGTAAAATTAATGGCCAACTTTTGCTGCCAACTTTTGCTGCCAACTTGCAGAACCTTTCCCCTCCCAAGGTGTATTTTATATTGATTCCATAAAGGAGAGTTTCAAATAGGTTGATATTGCTCTATGGCTCCTTTCAAACATACTGTCAAAATTCACCATTAGTTTTGTATCATCACAACAAGCTTCTGGTATATCTGCTTTTCCTTCCCTTTTTCCTCTGGCATGGGCTCAAGGGTTTAAATTCAGATCTTTTAGAATCTTCATTAAATCCAAACTTGAAGGCTCCATGTTTATTTTAAGTTATAATTGGTTTAAAGCAGTCAGAACCAAATGTTATTTGATTTGGCTTTCTAGCAAACCATCGTTTAAAAGAAACCTGTACCCCCAAACTCTTTCCAGTAATTGGAGGAATTATTTTATATATATATAGGAAGAGAGAAGTTATTGGATACTTGGGAGATTAATATTAGCTGTACTTAATTTTTACAATTAAATTTAGTTTTGTTCTGATCTGTCCTATTTTTTTTTTGGTCCAGGAAATGAAGAATCTGAATACAGCCTTTGCTCTTAGTTTGCCCATTCCTAGTTTAAATTAACTAGGATATTCACAAGACGTAACTCTGTTTAAAAATGAAAGGAAGTGGTTTTGATCTCATATCCACTTTAGAAAAAGACAGAGGAGTGTGAGCACAAGAGCCAAAAGATTATACATGCAATGCTTACCTATTAATTTAATGTTCTGAAAAGTACCCCATGTTGTATGAATAATGTTCTTCTATTTCATTCAGTATTTACGTAGCCCACCAGAAATCTGCTCTATTATTCAAGCTTCACCAGGATTTAGACCACTGAAAGTACTCCAACATCCAACAAATAGAAAAGAAGGGTTTCTCCCACCAGAGGCAACTGAAGGTAAAAGGAAGAGAAAGGAAATATTTTGATGAGCTATCTTAAATGGGTAACATGCTTTCAGATTCTATATGCAGAAAATAGTTTGTGGTAATTTGGGATAAAAGCTTCAGAACAAACTCCAGACTTGGAGTGAACCTACAACACAAATTGCTTGGAAAGTGAATTGAAAAAATGTGAGATTAGCTCCTGAGTTCAGATTATTTCTTGGCTATACTGTAGATCCACAGAGTGATTTGTGGGCAAATCATTTCTAACACAAAAAGCTATTTAGTCAGTTTTATTTCCACCTTTAAAGGTTAACCTAATTGATTAATTAATCAGTCTAACATAAATCAGCAAAGGTAAAATGGTAATGTTGAGCATAAAGGTACATTATTGCTAAGAAATAACTATAATAGGAAAAAGATATGGGAGATCGTTACTATTGAAAGATGGCAGTTTATATATCTTGTCTGTTACCAAAAAAGTATATTAAAGCCGTGGTGGCACTGTGGTTAGAATGCAGTACTGCGGGCTTCTTCTGCTGACTGCCGGTTTCCAGCAGTTCAGCAGTTCGATTCTCACCGGCTCAAGGTTGACTCAGCCTTACACCCTTCTGAGGTCAGTAAAATGAGGACCCAAATTGTTGGGGGCAATAATGTTGACTCTGTAAAGTGCTTACAGAAGGCTGTAAAGCACTGTGAAGTGATATATAAGCCTAAGTGCTACTGCTATTGCTTGCTATATTATAAGAAATGCTTTTTCTGCTGTATGCCATCCAAATTTCTTGTTATACCAGATATTGCATTTTAGGCAAGTTTTTAGATCTATTTCCATTGACAGTTCTGACTGTTCTACAGTTGTAATGTTGTTCCCAAATTCAACAATATGATATTGATTTATTTTCTCCAAAAGATGAAACAGAAATTTTATCCCAGTACAAAAATATTTATATTTCAGATATTATTACAAGCTCAAAAACCTGGACCTGTGGTAATGGTAGCTGAACATTTCAGTTGTTGTTTCACCAAAGCAGGAAGAAACTAAGCAGAGTATCTGTGAGATCCTGCTACAGTATCTATTATAAACAGCAGGTATAATTAGTAAAATTCATGGGCATTAAGTTCTATTGGAATAAATTATATTAATACTCTCTTCATATCTTACATATTCCTAGAGTTATATCTAATTTCCAGTATTTATCTACAACACTTGTTACATGCTTCTGAATTTCATACTTATTGAACAATATGTAAAACGGTTACCTAGGAAGGAGATTGTTGGATTTGCATATGGGAACTTATTATTTCTGTATTGAAAATTACTTTGGTTTACTTCTTACAGTTTTCTTAAGGACAATGTAAAACATTTACTTAGTTGAATCATTAAAAAAAGGAAAAATTGTAAATTGAGAAAATGGAAGGCAGCACATAATTAAAGAAAATATCTGGCTTTTGTACATTTGAAACCTGATGATAGTTTTAAAGAAAATAATGGGGGAAAATATACTTCAGGATACATGTATTTTGATAGGTAAAAGCTGATTATAAAATGGCATAAGTTTAGTGTTCATGTTTTGAATTATATTTTTGAAACTATTTTACATATCTTATATATATATATATATATATATATATGTATATGTATATGTATATATATGAATGATATCAAGGATGTGTGTGTGATATATCTCAGGATATTAGCCTAAATTTAGCTAAACTAAATATTTGAATTTAAGCCAATTTAGAATAATTACTTCTATTTTTCATTTCAACTATACTGAATGTAAATTAAAATGTGAAGCTCTAATACTTTTGTCTCCTCTGAATATGTAAAAAAATAAATTATTTTTGTTAGCAGAGTTCTTTTTAACAGTGTTGTTTCTTTTCCTCAACGGATTTTAAGACAAAATGTTGATCTTCATTGCTGGATTTAAAAAGATTGTTCTGCGTATTCTTAACATTTTATCGATGACACAATGTTTAATATACCTTTTGGTTTGTAAGTATCTAACGTATTTATAAAAACTGAAGTGTGATGGCTAGAAAAAGTCGCTATGAAGAGGAGATCAGAAGCAGCTGCTGCCTTTTGAAAACTAACCAAAGCTCCTTATTATGCTTGGATTTGGTTTAGTACAACCTTTTTTGGAGAGCAATTTTACTGATGCTATTCCATGAAAAAATAATCAAGACAAAGTAAATCTTTGCTGGCTCTTATTGCCTTTGTCATATGGTTATACCAGTGGAAAAAGAAGCTTAATACTCATTTCTGATTTCTCTTAATGTTATTTTCCAAAACATCTAATGTGGTCAAGGTCACTTTATAATGAAGATTCTCCTCTGATGGACGTCTACAGTGGTGTTGACATAAGCACAGCAACATATCCAGCAAGCTTCTGATTCCAGTCAGGAATAATCTGCCCGATGTAGTCCTTCATGGGGTCAGTTCAAATTTTCATTTTACATAACACAACATTGCTAATGAGAGAGTTTGTTCCTATCAAAAGCCCTTGCTTTACAGAATAATAAAAGGCAGCTCTTCAGTTTGCCTGAAAAATTAGATGGAAACAATATCATTTATTATAGAGACACATTATTACACATAGGACTGACTGACATTGTCTAGTCACCACTTGATGGCTTGCATATCAAATAAAAACTTAGAAGTATGACCGAATCTTGGATTTTAGACATTTGCTGGAGGTTACATTTTGCTTGCAACCCATGACCATGATCCTTCTCATTTCTCACCTAATGTTAAGAGAGTATAGAATGTACTATGTGGGAATGCCATGGACTCTGGCATTGGAGTCTAATTTTGTGCATTTGTTTTCATGCATAGTTGATATTTTCCAATCTGTATTTCAATTTTACTTTCCAGGTAACTTTGGGATTCTTGGTGCTCTCTGAGTTTGTTTGTTCATTTGTTTGTTTGCACACATTTCATTACCAAACTAGGTAACAGCATCACAAAAGACCAATGAGCTGGGGGCAATCCAATCCAGGATTTATAGAAATTTCACACAATTGAAATTAAACATACTGTATAAATTCTGCTTCATCCCTAACTTGGGAAAAATTGTTTCATTTTGTTCACATATAAGTGTTATTAAGGCTAGATTATTTCTTGTTACGGAGCAGAGAAGATGGGTTTCTCTGTTTGAATTTCTGCTTAGAATTATTAGGATGTTCCAAACTATTTCTCAAGCACAAAAGTGGGGCTTCAATTGCTGACAGAAAAAGAAAGGTCTGGTTATATTGATTGATTCACTGATTCTATAGCCCATCTTTATTATTTTTATAAGCAACTCAAGGTGGCGAACATCTCTAATACTCTTCCTCCTATTTCCCCCCACAATAACAATCTTGAGCTGAGAGTGTGTGACTGGTCCAATATCACCCAGCTGGCTTTCATAGGTAAGGCCGGACTTCAACTCCCAGACTCCCAGGTTCCAGCCTGGTGCTTTAAACACTAGGCCAAACTGGCTCCCCTATGTAAATTGGAGTGGGACAGGAAAATGCATTATATTTGGTGACTGTTATATCTACTACCAAGTCTTTACTCTGCCATACAATTTTGATACTCAGCACCATGTTTCGCAGGAGTAAGAAATAGAAAAAAAGATTGAAGTTCTTCTGCTGTACTTTTGACCGACCATCACTTTTCATCAGCACTAAAGTCCCTTTGCACAAATTCTATTTGTGTGAAATTTGTGATTCTTCTCCCCTTGCTATTTTAACTGCACATTTCATCACATTCTGGTTTCAAAACAATGAAGTTGCAAGCCATTTTAATTTTTTTAAAAAATCAAATGTAACCTGAAAAACTCAATTTTCTATCATATTTAGCGTGTTTCATCTCTACAAAGTTTAATCTTGACTGCTAATTGACTAATTGGTACATAACCTTAAAATGGCCCATTTTCAATCTTGAATTAGTTTATAAGCAGATTACAAGATTCATTTAAGCAGTTTAAAAGATTCTATAAAATTTAACTAAAGATTTACTAAACCTTAAACTAAATAAAGAAAACTTTGAAGGAAAGCTAAACCATAATAGAGAAAAATATGAAAGTTTTGTATGCTTGCTTTGTTACCGTTACAAATTTAAACATGGGGTTCAAAGAGAAAATGTATAGAAATGGTACAAAATCCTTAGTCAGTTTTTCCTTCCTAACTCAATAGAATGTTTTACCTTTTTTCCCCCTCCAAGTCACTTTTTAACTTGTTCCCAAGGAAGTGAATATTATATTTATTCAGACTTCCAACAGAACAAAAGGAAGAGCTGTGAAGACCTATGGGCTTTGTTGAGCTTCATGGAATTAAAGGTTCTGCTTTCTATCCCCCATCTCCTCAGAACCTTTGTTCAGTCACTAGTGCTTTTAATTGACTTCCTGATTCCAACAATGGTTTTGAACTTTTTCTTTCAAGCTATTCTCCTTCCTGGTATTTTTTTTTAAATTCTCCTATTGGTCTAGTATTCAATTGATGCTTCCTTACAAAGAAGTGGCATAGTTTTAAGTGCAACTATTTATTGGCCCTAGAATGACCATTTCCTTGGCCCTCAAATATGGGAGAGCTAATTTGGTATAGTGTCTAAGGCAGCATCCTAGAAAATTGGGAGATCGTGAGTTCTAGTCCTGCCTTAGGCCCCAAACCAACTACATGACCTTGGACCAATCATTCTTAGCCCTAGGAAGGAGACAATGGTAAACTATGTCCGAAAAATCTTGCCATGAAAATTTCAGGGACTTGTTCAGGCAGTCACCAGGAGTCAATAATGACTCAAAAACACACACCCAAAAGGGATGAAAATACTGGATTAAAGCATTTTGCTTTTTGATCCTTTGAAACTGCATTTAAGACACATCTCAGCTGTCACTTTCAGTCTATAGAATATATTTTCCCTTACTTTGACAAATGAACTGTAGGAAGTTAGCACCCACTCCTTTCCTGGAAGAGTGAAATATTTTAGGAAATATGAAAAAGGCAGAATATTATATTTCCCTGGATGAGAAGTGGAGAAGCATATTTTACAGACAAAGCAGCTCCCACCTTCCTGCCCCCCACCCTTTGTCAATGTTAAGGCCTGGGCCAGTCTATTCTACATAACAAAGATCTACCTCCTTCAGGCAGAGCCAAAGTAGGAATTGCCAAAGATCCAACAAAGATAGGATTAGCCCTCTACACAATAGCAGCAGAAACTCACCACATGTGACCTGGGAAGCACATGTGACCATCAGCCAGCAAGACCCCCACCCCTGAGAGTCTGACAACCAATCAGAGTACTCTTTCTGGGCCCCAGGAAGTTCAAAGCCAGAGAGAGCATAAAACCTGAAAAACTTGCTGTATCTGCCCTTTTCTGTTCAGGAACTCAAGCCATGTGATCCTGTCCACCATTAAACCATCTTTCCAAGCAGCCTCCGTGTTTCCAGTGTCTGTTTCCCCACTTGGAGCAGAACCCAGAAGGATGTTTCTTCCAACAGAACATAGCTTAGTTTCTCACATACATTAACGTCTATACTTGGAAGAATATCCTAATCATAAAAGCAATCTTACATGCCAATTGGCACTAAAATCTTCCAGTCTTTTTCATGATAAAATCAGTAGATTTGGGACCCTCAAGATAAGGAGGGCTATCAATCATGGCTCTTCAGGGAGTAGTTTTGGGAGAAGATGAGTGATAGACTTAAAGTCTTAGCAAAAAGTTTTGAGAACCACTAAAACCACTCCCCACCCATGTCTGGCTTTTTGGATTTGGAGAAACATTGACAAAATATCCTCCTTGTTTCAAAATGGGGAAGTGAGACTGTTCCTCCTAAAAGCTGAGCAAATGGGAAAACAGAGAGAAATAAAAATATATGAAGGTATATGAAGCAAAGGCAGGTAAATGTATATGATTAACTCAAACTAGGAAGAATATTTTTAATTGTCTCTAAAGGTTAAGCTAGAATTTTAACAGTGGTTTGTTGAATAACTAGAATAGTGCATCATACTCAACACATAGAAGATATATTCATGCAGCTCATCCAAAAGAACACCGGAGTATTTTATGTTTATATTTCAGGTGGGAATAATAAGAGAGCTAATGGTTTGATTTGGACTACTTACTGTGATTAGGAATGGCTAAGAGCTTCACCACTTACTTTTGTCACAAGGTTTTGCATGGCAGTGTCTTCCCAGATCAGTACACCATCATCTTTTCTGCGCATACCTATATTTTCCCAAAAGGGCAGCAACTCCACCTGGAAAGTGTAGCCATAAAGATATCAAGAGAAGCAACTTCTAAAATCAAGACTCCCATCAGGCCAACTCAAATATCTGATGTTTGGAACCAGAAAGTGAATATAGTTCGTTAATCATTTTATTTTAACTATCAGGGAGTTACTACCAGGGAGGATTTGTGTCTCAATTGCCAAGATGACTTAATTGACTTTTGTCTATACAGGTAGTCCTTGACCTACGATCCCAGTTCAGACCAGAACTTCCATTACTAAGCAATTTGATTAAGCGAGTTATGCCCAATTTTACAATCTTTTTTGCTATGGTTAGTAAATCATATAGTTATTAAGCATACTGAGTTTCCACCACTGAGCTTGCT